CAAACGAAAAAGATCAGAAGCCTTTCGTTCCTCTCTCTCTCTCTCTCTCTCTCTCTCTCTCTCTCTCTCTCTCTCTCTCTCTCTCTCTCTCTCTCTCTCTCTCTCTCTCTCTCAGCCGGTCGTTTTTTTCCCCTTCTCCCTTCCGCCTCCTCGATTCCATCCTTCAACTTGTGCCCTCCATCCACCACTCTCTCTCCTCCGTTGCAATCCACTTCGAGCTACTAGTACTCCGATTCTCAATGTGCCCCCTGCGAATCTGGTATGCCTTCTCATCTCTTCCTCTGTCTGTCCATTCTTCTCCTCTGTCACCTGCATATCCACATTTACCCTACTCCTCTCGTGATTCACGCCCTTAGCCGTTATCCTGCTCTCCACCCTCCAGACTGAGCCCCTCTTCCTGCCTCCAATCTCTTCTTCCCCACCTTGTCAGGATCCCCCTACACGACCAGCATTCCTTACGCTGTCGCGTTCTTTCCACTGCGTTTCACGGTCCCTCCATCCCTCGCCGTCACTGGCTGACATTCTGAACTCCTCTCGATCCCCACATCATAATGATCGCCCCCCCTCCCCCCCTCCCCCCTTCCAATCCGCGCGCCCCATCCCCTGCTTCACAAATTGGGCTCCCGACCTACATCCTCCTACCGTTTACTTCAGGATTAGGATCCCCCTCGAAGTCTTCCCCGGTCACAACCTCCTCGGCGGCGGCAATCTTACCTCGCAGGCTTCATGCTATCGTGCTGAGTCTCCTTTTCCTTCCTCTGTCGCTGCGTCCCCATCCCCGTCCCGACCGAACAAATCCCGACCCTCTCATCGTCCTTATTCCGTATCGTGACCCTCCCCCTTCGTCCTTCTCCTGCTACTCCATCGCCACAAGCTTTCGATGACAACCTTCTCACCTCACTGTTCCTCCATCCCTGCGCGCAGGTCTCTCACCTTCACCTCCCTGCCTGACCAGGCACCTGACCTTGCCCTACTGTTCCTTCTCCCCCAGCCTTTTCGCACAACTGTACAGCTAAATTCCAATCCCGACTACGGTAGCCCTTCCGATATCGGCCGTGCACAGATCCTGTACCGCTTGCAACATGGCACCCCAACAAAAGATGGGAGTTTCAGTTCTAAACAATGAATGAATGGAGCGAGGGTAGGAGGACTGTAAGGAAAAGAGGAGGGGGGGAAGGGAGGGGGGAGGGGGAGAGAGAGAGAGAGAGAGAGAGAGAGAGAGAGAGAGAGAGAGAGAGAGAGAGAGAGGAGGGGGAGGGAGAGAGAGAGAGACGAGGCGGGAGCACTTCGCCACGGCCCGAGACTGAACGGAACTCTCCACCTCTTCACACACAGATGCTCTGTCTGTGTGTGTGTGTGTGTGTGTGTGTGTGAGAGAGAGAGAGAGAGAGAGAGAGAGAGAGAGAGAGAGAGAGCACGCCACGCTGCGCGAGCTTACCTATTTCGTTTGTAGGCCGAGTGTGAGCGGAACTCTCCACGTCTTCCCGCACAACACCGCTGACAGAGAGTCAGAGGGCACTTCAGCAAGCCGGTTTACACGCAAGCGCATCTCTGCTCGGCGAACCTGCCTATTCGTTGCTCGGTAGCGCCGACGCGAATCTGGGCTGCGCGGAAGCGCGCGTTCCGACGGCGCTCTTTTCCTCTCTAATCAGCGGCAAGCCTAGTGCGCTCAGTGCGCCGAGCGTAAGCTGTCCTGTGGAGAACTCTCAGAGAGAAAAAAAAGACCCATGCCCTTCGGGGCACAGCCCCTGATCAAGGATGACACGCACAAATCGAGGAGGGTAATTTTGGAAGCACCCCCACAAGTTGAGAGATACGCCAAAATGCCCCTAAAAGACGTCAACCGAGTGGAATACCCCTCTGACAAAAAAGAAATACCCCTGCCGTCGGTTGGACACCCCATATTGCAAAATAACCCTACCGCGTACAACTTTGCATAATGTCCCGGTACTTGCCAACTTTTCCAAGGCCCGATTTATGTACATTTTACACCTACCGGTTCAGGTGATCTTTGCATTTTGCGTCCTCATTGGAGGCCCGTTGTCAAGCGCATCGGTCCCACACGGGGACCCTCCCGGCCACGTCACACAGGATTATGCAGGACTTGTCGCGTAGAGCGTTTGCCGCTCCGGCCGAGTGCGCCAGCCGTACCTCTCGAGTGCCCCTACGACAGGACAAGGTCACGCGAGGCACCGCTTACCTCCACCTGCGGGAGCTGTCACCATCCCTTAGGTGGGCGTATCCCCGCCAAGCTACTGAACCACATGCGAAAGCTTTTCGTATGCAATTGCAGAGGTGGCCCAGCCGAGGGCGTTTCTCATTCGCTGTAGCATAGGGGGTTACGCGCGGTCGAACGCCCAAAAATCGAACCCGTACGCGAGTCGCCGTACTCGGGGGTTGAAGTCCCAAACGCGACTCGACGCCGGTCGACTAGGATGCGCTACTCACACCACGCGTTACACTACAAAACTCACACCTACCAGTTATAACGCATGGAACACACACAAACAGACACCGCCACGATACAACAACTCCTACTCCCTTCACCCTGTCTCTTATACACATCTAGATGTGTATAAGAGACAGACCATGTAGTACCCATACTCGCGCGGCCCTAGATAATCTCGGGGTTCGCGTTCGACATTCAAGTGTCGGCTGACAGGCGCTTTGAGGGGTAATCTCTCTACGTCAGATAACCGCCATGTGCGGTTGAAGCTCACACCCTCTTCTGCACCTGTCTCTTATACACATCTAGATGTGTATAAGAGACAGCCCTCGCGCTGATGGGGTACTATATGGTACTCGTATCCTCGCGGCCCTAGATAATCTCGGGGTTCGCGTTCGACATTCAAGTGTCGGCTGACAGGCGCTTTGAGGGGTAATCTCTCTACGTCAGATAACCGTCATGGGCGGTTGAAGCTCACACCCTCTTCTGCACCCTGCGCAGAGGGGTTGAGAAAACAACTCTAAGCTGTCGTGGCGGTCAAACGTCAAGCGGTTTGACTTTGACGGCCGCCACGAACTATAACGTCCAACCATGAAAACCCAAAAAGGAAAACTTAGTGGTCATTTAATAAAAGTCCGGGTAAAACCATAACAAAACAAAAAAACACCAGGGCTGAAGCCTTTTTAGGTTGAGCACTGAGAGTGAATTGGGGTTGAGTCGTAAACCGACGAATCGGCAACCGACCTGTTATCAGCGATAACAGAAGAATAGTCAGGCTGACCAAGTCAGACCTTCAATCAATACGCACGGTCTGCACCACAACACAGGTCAGAGAGATTCCACTACATCGTTTAACCCAAGTAGGGAGTAATCCTCCTAAATCACATCCTAACTCCTCTACTAAGCTCCTACTCAACTTCTGATAGGTTCAGTAACACCTTCCCTACTCAGGGTTGAGTTGCTAAGATTGGTCTAACTCAAAATATTCTAACTTTCCAAATTTCCCAAAATTTTGGCAGCCCTTCCCGTAGTAAAAGTGCATTTTCATAATTTATAGGAACCTGAATATGACTAACTCTTTTCAGTTTTGCAAAAATTTTGGCAGCGCTTCCCGTAGGAAAAGTGGGCTGCCAAGATTTATACAAAGCTGAAAGTCAAAGCGCAAAGCAAAACTATACTTTGGGCTAACTCTTGATCCCTGCTTGACAACTTAGGATCAGCATTGGTCTACATGCCCTCTGAATGAGGCCATGAGCCAACGCTGATCCCAACCCCCAGCAGAGTCAGTCCTATCTCATCCCAAGCTTCTCTCTCATCATTCATTATACCTACCTATGACTCCAGCACTCGGCGAGCATCTACAACAACTACTCTATCGAAAGATGCCCCAAGTGAGAGCCCACGAGCATGCAAGCGCAAACATCTCTCACAATCCCACATGGTTCTTTTCTAGGTCACATAGTTCGTTCAAAAACCCTCATTATTCTCTTTTTACCCTTCCTTACATAAGACATAGGGTCAGCCAACCCAACTTATGGATGTGACTGACCTGCCAGTTTATATGACTAGGCCACACTAACTTATGGTGCCCCAGCCTGGTAACACAAATATATGTACGCTTAAGACCAAGCCACACCAACTTATGGTGTGACCAGTTTCTGCAAAACGATCGACATAAGGCGTATGACCGGGCCGCACCAACTTATGGTGAGGCTGGTCAGCCTGAACGTTCGGCATACACATAGAACTGAACCTCCTCAACTCATGAGGGGTCAGTCTCTGCCTAAACAACAACATAAGGCATATGACCAAACACAACAACTTATGTTGCGTTCGGCCAGCCCACACGGTTACATACGGCGTACAGTCAGGCTACCCAACTTATGAGTAGTCCAGCCCAGCCTAGACATAATCACATGCGCGAACAACTGAACAGCCCGCAACTTATGCGTTTGCCCAGCCTTCGCAATATAACCATGTTCAACTTATAGAAATAAGGCATAAAACTTACCACAACAACTCATGTTGTGATAAGTCTCTGTCTGAAAAAAAATGACATAAGGCATATAACCAGGGCGCACCAACTTATGGTGAGACCTGATCAGCCTAACTCTCGGCATATACAAAAAAATTGTACCTCCTCAACTTATGAGGAGCCCAGCCTTTGCCTGAACGAACGACGAAAAGCATATGACCAGACACAACAACTTATGTTGTGCCTGACCAGCCCACACAGTGACATATAGCATAAAACTAGGCTACCCAATTTATGAGTAGTCTAGACCCGCCTAAACAACAACAAACGTGTATGACCGAACAACCCGCAACTTATGCGTTCGCCCGACCCTCGAAACACAACTACATCCAATAGATAAGTTTCACAATCAGATTCTGTTTTCGGCCGAGTGGTCAGATCACCCACCCAAGCGTCAACTATGTTTAGAAGAGGAAAATAGTAAGACTTTACATATCCCTCTGCTTTCGCGTTATCAAGGATATAGGACCAACTACCCAATTTATGAGTGAGTCAGCCTGCCCACAGTTACCACACCATTTTGTATTGTTCATCTTTTTTCCCTCTGCTTTGTCTGCTACCGGCTTATATGGTTGGATCTCACAACTTATGGTTTTCAACCTGCCATGAATATACATAATAAATAATGTATCACTTTGTAAGCTCTGATTTCCTTAGTGATGGCGGCTCATGACTTGACCACACCAACTTATGGTGCGAATAGTCTCGCCTGAAACAATAAAGCATAAGACTGAGTCACACCAACTTATGGTGTGATCAGCTTCTGCCTAAACAAATGACGTAAGGCGTATGACCGGGCCCCACCAACTTATGGTGAAACTGGTCAGCCTAAACTTTCGGCATACACAAAGAACTGGACTACCTCAACTTATGAGGAACCCAGCCTATGCCTGAACAAACGACGAAAGGCATATGACCAGGCACAACAACTTATGTTGTGTCTGACCAGCCCATACAATTACATACAGCGTAGAATTAGGCTACACAACTTATGGGTAGTCTAGCCTGCCAAATAACAAGTAGAACAAGTGTGAAAGACCGAACAGCCCGCAACTTATGCGTTCGTCCGGCCTCCGCAACACTTTTGACAGCTCTGTGTCTTCTGAATTCACACTGATAATCTTGATTAAATCAATACATATTTGTCAGTTTACTTTGCAAAACAATATCCTGAATTCAAACAAGTAAAGAAAAAAACAGTTATCTTTTCCAGTCATACTTACAGTCAGGCCAATAGCAATAGGATAATATAGTTTAGTGATAGGATCACATGCGTAAATCGAGGGTTATACCTGAGTGTTCCCTGCCTCCAGAACCCCGCCTGGGTCCCGGCAACGCTCCCGCAATCGGTGGGGCAACCTCCCACAGAGACCTTGGCGCGGACCTACGGGTTGCAATCCTGCCTGCCGCCTTCCTCTCGTAACCAAAAGACTAGACTTAGACTGAGAAGGGCAACGAAAGAAAGTTCAGACTCTCAGGATCCAAGGGAGGTGCGCTCAATCTCACTAGAGAGGACCTCGTTATCTTTATGCGCCTGAGGGCCCCGCAATGATGGCCAATGTAACAGCTTGTTAACTCCTGAAACCAACTGCCGAACTCAACCCCCCTGACGACCGCCCCTATTTATCCAGGCTACGATCAATAATCTCTCCTCGAAGCCCAATCACTACTCTCGCACTACCTCTCCGATGCTCGACGTAGATCTATAGTCCTGCCGTCCAGACAGTCGTCGTACCTAGACCAACACAGTGATTCACGGGGCCCCAGCAACTGCCGCCGTAGAAGATGCAGCCACCAACAACTGGTCATAGTCTGTGTATAGTCAAAGCAGCAGCTGCTTTCCGTCGGCCCATTAGCATCCAGCAGAAGCCGCAGTGGTATGTAGTTGTAGTCTGTACTGCCCACCAGCAGCGATCAATAGTGCCCAGCCTGTAGCACCAGATCGTGCACAACACACCGCAGCAGATCCTTAACAACCCTTGAAGTCACAACAGCAGCCTTTCTCATCCGTACACAGTCCACCAGCGTCGTGGCAGCCTACAGTGGTCCGCACGCGCGACACTTAGCAACGGATCACGTACACCACACGGCAGCAGGCCCTCCCCAACAACAGCAGCCGCCAGTCGCAGCAGCACACGACGCGCACCACAACGGCTTAAAGTGGGGAACAACGTCTCGCTTCAGCAATCGTGCATAAATCTCTGCCTAGCACAGTAGTGACCCCGACGTAAGAAGGAACAGGAATGACGTGCAGCAAAAGCGCCCAACAATGAGCAGTGCTCGGCTCAACAGCAGCGCCGAACAGTGTCCCGCACTGCCGCAACGTTATCGATATTGCCCAGCACAACACTGACCCGCAACAGTGTAGGTAGCTAATCCACTATAGCAATTTAGAACGATGTTGCAGTCCTCCGCATCTGAGCGCCACCGTCCCTTATAGCAACAGCCTGTTACTGCTGCACCCAACCAGCCGTACCCTTGTGTAAATCTGGCAAGACGGTAGTACAGTCCGACCCAGCAGCTCCAGACAACAATAGTTCGTAGTTACCTGGGCCGTAGCACCAAGCCACAACAGTAACAACCTCCTGCACTAGCCCCGACCTCCACTATTTACGCCACACTTCTGTTCCCTGTAATGAACCGCGCAACAGTCTGCAGTAGGCCCTACCACTGATGCCGCGAAAAAATGTAGTTTAGAAAGGACAACAAGATGTACGGCTGTGACGCAGCAGCAACTGAGCACATGGAAAACCGGCGGAAGTGGTGAGTTACCCGTACACGGTCGGCTGCCGAGGCGCACTGTACCCCCCTGCGACTCACCAGTCTGCATATCCAGCTCTCATGATCCTGCCTGCAGCCAGCTTCTCCAGGATAGAACCCGCCAACCAGTGGGCCTTCGTCGAATAACCGCAGCTCTCCGAGTGCCCGTACCCGGATGCGAGCAGCCACAACAGCCCCTATCAAGTAGTAACGTCGTCGTCTGTATGCAGACGTAGGTCGTGCAGACCGCCCTTGCGGCCAGGTACACGCCTTGTCACTCCGTAGTGGACCAATAACGTGGCCCGACTAGCCATGCGATGCGCAGTCTGCCTACAACTGGTTATGCAACTCTCCCTGGCCTCAGCAAGTATCGAACGTACAACTGGTCTTACTTTACCTCAACCCCGGGGGTGAGCCGCACTCCAGCTAACAGTTAAGTTTCCGTCTTGTGACCGGCCTCCTTCCTG